GGGGGAGGAAGGAATGAAGGAAGGGTGGGAGGGAAGAAGTGAAAGAGAGAAGTACAAGTAGGAGTTCAAGTTTGAATCCTAGGTCTACTACTTACTAGCTGTATGAACTTGGGCAAGTTACTTATACTTTCATTTTCCTTAAAAATAAATCACAGACATCCTTCAGTGTTAATACATAGACATTCGTATTCTTTTCAATGACTGCATAGTATTCCAATACATCATAACTAACTTACCCATTGTTTTTTGCTGTGCTTTAGTGTCCCTCATTTGAAAAATAGTTATAACATGACTTATTTCATATCTGTGAAGGTTAGAGTTAATGTGTAAAAGTACTTAGGACAATGTTTGACCTGTTGTGAAGAGTCTTCCATTTTATTCCTAATAACTTTTTCTAATTGATTGCACTTTTGCATCTTGCTACTGAAATTGTTGAAGTCCTAAAACCAAATTTTTAAATTCAGAAAATAAAGCACAATGCCTACTGATTATGAAGACAATATTTCCATAAATATAAAAATAACCAATGAAGTTACACTTGTCAAATTTTAATGTGCATAAATGTAATTCAATCAGCTGGGCATCTTGTTAAAATGCAGATTCTGATTCCAATGGTCTGGGGCGGGACTTCAGATTCTGCATTTCTAACAAGTTCTCAGGTTATGCTCATTGCTGCTGGTCTGCAGATCACCCATTGAGTACGCAGGATACAGATGGTGTGATTCAAAGGGAAAAAATACATAGAAGGAAAAAATATATAGATATTATTTGTAAAATGAAGTTAATACTTACCTCATAAGATTGGTGTGAAGATAACATGAAACATATCGAAAATGTTAGGATATCCATCAATGGGGAACACCATAATCATATTTTATTGCTTTATTGCAGGACTGCACAATAAATATATTACTCATATGAGCATAAATATATAACATACAGAGGAGCTCTCTGTGTATTAGACACTAATTTGTCTCATGTTTGTAATACACATATTGCATATTATGTATAGCAAAGTTTTATTTGTTGGCTTGCTATCTCTTAGTTTTATGGTGTCTGTCACCTTACAGAAATTTTTAATGTTTATACAGTCAAGTATTTCTCTTCTGGGTTCTTTTATGTTTTATTTTGTACTTAGGAAGCTTTTCTCTATCCCCAAATAATAAAATATTCTCCCAAATTTATATTATTTTTTAAATTTTCAAGTAATTTCATTGTTTTTGTTTGTTTTGTTTTCTTCCGAGATAGGGTGTCACTGTCTCACCCAGGATGGAGTGCAGTGGCCGATCACAACTCACTGCATTCTGGGACTCCTGGGCTCAAGGCACCTTCCAGCCTCAGCTGTTTGGGTAGCTGGGACTACAGGCACATACCACATACCATCTCCATACCCAGCTAATTTTTTTTTTTTGAGAGAGAGTCTTGCCATCTTGCTCACACTATGCTTGAACTTCTGGGATTAACAGATCCTCCTGCCTCAGCCTCCCAAAGTGCTGGGATTACAGGCATAAGCCACCACACTCAGCCTGTTTTAGTCTTAACGGTTACGATGGGGGTCTGGGGAGAGATCAAAATGTTTTTTAAAAATATACCTACATGAGACTTTCCCCACTGGTTTTATGGTTTATTTAATATTATATTATCATTGCTACAAGAAAGGGTTGGGTCAAGCATATTATGTAAAATATAATAATAATCTAAAATGTACATATACCAGTAGTCCTAGCCTTTTCCATATATAACTTTTAATCAACCTATTTTTATATTGACAATCCATATCAATATTCAAAAACCAATTAACCATCAAACATAATTGCAAATCAATATTCTGAATTATTGCACATTGATTATGCCTATAGGCAATCCACTTGCACAGTGCCAGTTCAGTACTAGAGAAAAACTTCTCTTCATTTAGGTCTTTACTTGAAGCTCATCTCATTAACGGAATCTTCCATGACCATCTTATCAAACCTCAGCTCCTCCCACCCCTTTTCCCTACTTTACCATTCATACAACTATTTGAAAAGTTTTATTATATACTTACCTGTCTCATCATGAGAACACAGGCTTTATCCTTTTATGCTACCCTCTAGCATCTAGAACAACACAGATGTAGGTTGAATAAATCACTGAATAGTTTCCAAAAGGTTAATGTAATCAAGTCAAAAACAAAAAGTGTCCAGTATGCTAAAAATGGTGACTCTTTACCCTGTCAAAGTCATTGGATTTAGGCCAGTTAACAATGTACTAAAGTACAAACTAAATAACGTGCATGTTTGACTGATCTAGGAATTCACACTACTCTAAAAAATGTTTGCATGGGAGTCATTTCTGGAGACTCAAACTCGAAACCACTCCTCCAAACCTTCCAATGATTTTGTAAGAAACTAGGTAATTTCAAAATTCCCAATATAAATCTGCATTCCTCTTCAAATAGCTAGAGTAGTTTGTTTCCTGAAAATTTGCATATCAGGTTTAAAAATAATATAAACTACATAAAATGATTTCAGACTATGGGGAGGGCAAGCAAGACTAACACACAAAAACATATATGTACACATGAGGAAAAAAGATCACTAAATACACCAAAATGTGAATGTGCTCATTCCTGTTGGTAGAACTAAGGTAATTTAAATTTTATTTTTGCTTATGTTTTCTCTAAATGTTTGAGAATACATTAAAAGGCTTTTTTGTAAAATAAAAGAAACAAAGCCTCCTAAAGAAAAAAAAAAAAAAACCTAAATATATCTCGAAATGTTAACGTTACCGGCAACTAGGAGGATTAACTGAAACTGTTAATCTGCATGTAACACCCATAATATAAACAAAAATATGTACCATGGCCCAAACTAGGGGAGCAAGTCCCCATGGTTGTGATTCCCGAGCAAATATTTGTCTATTCTAGTGGCACAGTCGAGCTGCCTGCTGTTAGAGAAAGGGCAGCTACCTTGGGGACTAAACATATAAGGTGAGAGTAGCCAATGCCGCAGCTGTTGCCAAGCTTTTTGTTGACAACAGCAGAAGTACATCCCTTAGAATTGGCTATTTTGAAAGGCATAAAATAGAATGGAAGTGCCTTCACCTACCCAATAATTAAATATAAATTTCAGAAAAGAATCGACAAGACTTTCTATAAAGTATTCATTAACAAAAGCTTCGACATAAGATTCATCTATTTCTGGGTTGCTCTTTATTCTTCCATTTTCTCTACCCACTAGCTTCCTGACTTAGTTTCAAACCAGCAATATATAGCACCCAGACAAAGACAAGTCATACTTTTTTATTCACAGACAGAGTTATCATGAAGTATCACAAGGCATTTGCAATCATCAAAGAAGATGCAGATAAAATAAGTCATTCTTAAGCTATGGAAATTCCTATTAAGGAATTTTATTAGATTAATAAGAAAAAATCCTTATACCTATTAATATAGTTTTACAAAACTATTTTTCAAATGTCATTTGATACTACTTTTGTTAACATTTTCAATGACAATTTTGATGAGCTCTAATTTTGGATCTACTGCTTTCTGTGACCTAAGAAGCCTTTGGCTAATCCCCAAGTCACAAAAATAATCACATATGTTTTCAGTTAGAAAGCTTCATACTTTTAAAACATTACATTAGATCTATGATTCATCTCAAAGTCATTTTTGTGAGGTAGGGGGTCACTGTTCATTTTTTTCTAGGTGGATATTCAGCTATTCTATTCTGGCTCCTTTTGTTGAAAAGAATTTCCTTCCCTGTTAAATTGTTTTGCCACCTTTGTCAAAATCAAGTGATCATATACATGTTGATCTGTTTTCAGGCTCTCTCTTCTATTCCATTGATTTATTTGTCAATCCTAGCGCTAGTATCACACCATATTGATTACTAAATACAACTTACCACAATGATCCTCACATTGCTTTACAAAATTTAAGCCTCAATAGGAAAGGATATATAAATTAAGCTGAAATACATGAATGGCATTAAGATGAGCCTTCCTTAAAAATCCATTTTTTAACATTATATCATGGCTTTGAAAACACTCCATAACTATTACTGTTTCAACAGCAAAACATATTTACCCACAAACAACTAAGAAGCTACATATTTTTCATTACCTCCAACTGAAATTATGTACAAAAAATATTTCATTAATTTTTCTATCAATTTCCCATCAAGTTTTTCTCCATTAATTCTGTTATTTAATACCACAATTACTAAGCTTAAAAACAATCCTTAAAAATTCATGTGTTGAAATTGGGAGATGGGTACACATTCTCCCTAACAAAATAATTTATGTTAAATTTATTTTACAATAAATAATAAAATGGTTAAAAGTCATACATAAACCTCAGAAATATTCTTGATAAAGAAAAAAGTAGATTATTTCCTTTAAAATAAAAGTTTGTACAGTTTTCTTTAAAGTCTGACTTGGAAAGGAAGATTAGAAGCAAAAATATTATACAAAGCAACTCCCAAAAACAATTTAAAAAAATCAATTGTGAGCAAATTGTTTATGGCTCTTGGAAACTGCAGCGTGTATGAACTTATTCAAATTGGCATAGAAACATCCCCCATCACCACTATCACCTTTTTAAAAAAGCAGATAGCATGAACTGTCAAACCTCCAATTTTTTATATACAGCTTAACAGCTTGAAAAAATATTCCACTGAGAGTAACAGTAACACTCTTTAAGATTTAAAATTTCTTCTTAACCTGAAATTCTGCTTTGATGCATAATACTCAGATCTTCCTGAAACAATTCTCTAATACATAAACAAATAACCCCAAACACTTGAAGAAATTTTACTAAAATAAAATTGAGATGTTTATTACTTTTCTACTGACAGTAATGAAAATCACTGGAAATTATACTTTGTCCTTTTTAAATGATTTACATTAAAATCATACTTTTTCAAATAACTGGTATAGCAGATAAAATTCAGTTTTAAAATCCTCAAAACACTTAGATATCAAAGATAGAAATACTGATTTTTTCCCATTAATGATGAGAAGAAATAAGAGATCCAGTTTAATCAAGATCTGACAATTACAAATTTTAAGTATTTAAATTACAGATCAGGATTATCATTTGTGCATTTTCTAGCTTCATTACGGTAGTTATACATCCAGAAAACAAACAGTTCTCAGATTCAATGTCAAATAATGGAATTTGGGCAAGCACTCTTAACATCACTTTCATTTAGTATGCACTACATGCACATGATGCAGGTAGGGAAGAAGTTTATGAATTCATGCATTAAAGACAAGACAGACAGGCACTATTACCAAACGTGCACTGAGCCAATTAGGTTGTTGCTCAAAGTTCTTTATACATAATGATTTCCATGAAAATAAGTGCAGAAGCAGAAATGTGTACATATCCCAAAACATCCTCTTCATTTGGTTTCCTGAGCTTTCTTTGCATTCTGTTTTTCTTTTGCCTAAAAATAAAAATAGCACATTACGAAATTTTACAAGTCAGTTTTAGACTATATTAAAATAAAATGTGCCTAAGAGGGCATTCTCAAGCTGAAAGGCTTGAAATACATTGTTTATAAGACTTCTAAAGCATTATATTTCATAACTTGAGATTTAAAACAAACTTTTCCTGGACAATTATATAGTTATTCTTTGCCCTAAGAAAGGATCATGTTTGGTTTGTAGTTCTTTCCTATCTGAAGGTGAAATGAACTATTATAATTGTAATAATTTAAAAATACATAATTACTCATTCCATAAAGTCAAACTCATTCATGAATATTCCAAAACAATATGTATACACATATTTGCCCATTTCCTATTCACATGAGTATAAGAAAAATCTTACATTAGTTTCTGTATATGTGAATAAATGAGTTTAACATAACAGCTTAAGTGAATTTAACATAATGTCACTAAAAGATTATGTATCCCTAGTGTCAATGAACTTTTTATGACCTAAAAAGTTTTCACACACTAGTTCAACAGATCTTCATTACAATTACATAGCTTGAACACAGTAATTCTGTTTTATTCTTTAGCAAATAAAGAAGCCACAGCTAACAGATGTTATCAAGCTTGACCAAAGTCCCACAGCTAGTATATAGTAAATCCTCAATACAGGTCAAAGACACATGCTTATACATTGCTTCTCAATGTGCATACCAATGACCTAGGGACCCTGTTAAAATGCAGACTGATTTAGTAAAATGCCTGAGGTTCTGTATTTCTAGCAAACTCTCAGATGATGCCACTTCTGCTGGTGTTCAGAAGACATTTCTAAAAGCAAGATTTTAGAGTACTACAGGTACAATATTCTTTCCACTGTGCCACTTCAGAAGAGTCAATAAATTAGGCTTCTACATTACGCAACGTTTTCTTAAACTTCCTTAAATAAAAAATAGAGCAATTAGAACAATTACAATCTCTTTTTATAATGTATTAGGTAGTATGATCATTTTTAATAGTATGATAAAACTGAGTGCTATGCCTTAGAATAAGAGCAAATAGCCTGTGTGCCATAGTAAAAATAATAAAATTAATTGCCAACATGAATGTCTTCAGTTAACAAGCATTATTTGTAATTTGATATGTGCATTGTATCTCACACAGAGTTTTCTTTACTCAAAAAATAAAAATTCAATTAGGTTTTAGGTATAATTTAAAATAAAGTATGTGCTTCTTTCCTTATTGATCTCTGAGTATACTTAACAGAATGTTTAGTAGTATTACCAAGAAATGAATTTACTAGTTTTTTATATAAACTTTACAACATAATTAAATGAGCAAACACATACAAGGAAGAGTGTCCATACATTAAAATTAAAAATAATTATCACCATTAATTAAGCACCAATTTATATACTTTACAGATATGATCTCATTTAATTATCAAGAATGTGAAGTAGATATGATTCCCAGTTTACAGATTAGAAAGAGGTTATTAGCAAGTATATAAGTGCCTAAAAGCACCAGCTAATAAGTAACATATATAAGATTTAAATTCAAAGCCTGTATTTTGTTCTGCTTTTGTTAAAAAATTAAAAAAAAAAAAAAACTATCACATTTATATATAGCATGGAAAAAATACATACTGTTAAAAATACTTTCCTTCTATACAGTGTACCAATGAGACATTAAAAAGTAGTGACTCAAATCAGATAACTCTGTATTACTAGATATTAATGTAGATATTGTTGTGGTAAGCTTTAGTTATTCTTCTACCTGCTATTAATAAACAGAAAAAGATCTGAAGCTTACTGATTACCAACTGAATCATAAAGTCACAGTAAAATGTGGACAAAATTCAATATTGTGAAGCTGCTTTGAATTCTCCCATAGCAATGGAATATATGATTTTACATCATGATAGATTATTGGTGGTTAAAAACTTAAGATAGACAATGATTCATAATTACATACAAATGTGGAGAAAACATTTTTTAATCATAAATATACCTGAATAAATAGAAGTCTCACAAATGTAATCTTAAACTAGATAATTTTATATTTTAAGAAGGAGATTTAGTACATAATACAAGAAGTTTTATAACCATATATTTTTAGATTACCTCCTAAGCAGTTTTTTAATGTAATGTATATTCAATGAATTCATCAGTTAAAAAGTCTCATATAACAAAAACATTTATTAGTCCTAACCAAGTTCATTATAGCCATATGCCCAAAGGAGAATCACCCTTTATTTGTCATTTTTCAAATAAAAAGATTTTAGCTGAAATACTTTTATGCCATTACAGATTGTAGGCAACTGCTGCAGCTACTCAAAAGTCTGATCCTGGAGAGTCTCGGCATGTAGTAGCACCACTGCATGGTGCAGCCACATCTTTTCTGTTTTTTTCCTTCTATCCCTTCTCACACCTTGTTCTTTTGTCCTAGTTTCCCTGAAAACAAAACATAATAAAAATCTACCATTCCAACTTATCTATTTCTGAATTCTATAGGTAATTTTTCTTAGAAGTATTACTATTAAGTAATTATCAGTGGTAAAGATTTTATACAATGATAAAATCTAATCAATCTATTCTAACAGTTTTCCAACATGCTTTATAAAGGCATTTATCTGCAGAAAATGATATTTTAATATGGTATATCATTTTTTCCCAAAATAAGATGAACAAAAATATATTCTTGCAAAGGAAGCTAATATATTACCACAGATTAAGTATTTAATTCCAACCGCATATTTAAAATTTTATGGGTGTGAAATTTTAAGTGGCTATAAAGCTATTTAGGAGCTACCCTGTGCTTGCTGGGAATCGTTAGCCTGACTTTGATAAGCGCTCTTGGCACTTATCAAAATAATACTATTTAGCACAGTATCATAATTGTTTATTTATTCCTTTCCCAAATCATGAGTTGCTTAAGAGAAAATAATATGTCTCAGTTATGTATACATCCCTAGACCTTAACAGAGTGCCTCCAATATCCTTGCAGCTAGATAAATGTTTGATGAATAATCAAAAACATTTCAACAATTCCAATTAAATGAGTGTGAATGCCTTCAGTATCTTAGAGAATAACAGTTATTGCATGCATACAAGAAATAAATCTATCTCAATATTGCTTCTGGAATATTAATAAAAGAACAGCTTAGAGAAATAACCAACTAGAAAATCAATAACTACTTTCCTTAAGAAAATGAAGGCAAACACAAGAGTTGGTGTTCCACTAACATCAGGTATTCATTTACTGCCACCTTGTGTCCAAAATAATGTGAACTAAGGAATAATGGTTCTAATGTTAAGCTGATAAGCTGTTGTTCTCTGTGCTCTCAAAAAAACTTGGGGATATAGCGTAATTAAAAATCAAATAACAGTGGTCCTTCTACTTACTAATTTGCACACGAACAATTATGTTCACAGACCAATTTTAATGCAAAATTTATACATTTAAAATTTGTCTAAGGGTGCCTAATAATATTTATCTAACTCAATATCTGATTTATCAGATGATTTAGCACATTACATAGTCAATATTTATAATAGAGAAATATTTGATAGTGTTAAGAACATCATATCTAGGTATTCTTGTTAACCAAGCAATTTTGAGAACCATAGGATCCTGTATTAACCTAAAACTTTAATAATTATTTTCCCTCTTGGAATATACCCTGAGATACATGAACAGAAAAACCTATAGTGGAAAAGAGGTTTAGCAGTCTTCTGCAATAACTTTTACATTTAATGCTAAAAGTTGGGTCACATGTTTCAGTCAACAAGGTATATGCACAAAAACTTATTAGCTCACATCTCATATTATTTAGAATTTATAACATGAAACAGCTTGGTTGAAATGTATCTTTGCTTTGTCAATTTTAAAATTAATAATAAAAATATACCTACCATGTATTCTTGTCTTTAAGTTAATGGTCCAAAATTTTATTTGCCTAGTAGTGTCTTCTCAAAGTGTTTCTCAAAATGTGGTACACAGACCAGTTGCATTAGAATCACTTGGGGAACTTATTAAAGAATCCTTCCCCTATATCAGAATATCTGGGGAGGGGCCAGGTAACATGTATTTTAACGTATGTCCACTGATGTTCACTTTCAGAAACACTGATTTACAGTATGAACTTAAAAACAATTTAACTGCATTTCATTTATTCAACAAATATTTTATTGTTACTTATATTATGAAAAAAATCATAGAAATCAGAATTTTCCACTAACTTACGCTAGTTTTCCCTCAGTGAAAAGGATACTAGACTAGAAATAAGAAAACCTATTTCCTAGTACAAGGTATTTTTTTTAAAACCCAACAATGTCCATTCTACTTCCAAATTCTGTTATATCAACTCAAATTTTTGCTAAACTAGGAAAATATTATTTCAATTATTAGCATTAAAAATCTGTTTTTGCTTAAAGAAAGAATAGTGTTTTAAATTTAATTTAATACAGCATAAGCTGAGGTCTTGACACTAAGAATCTGGAAGGCTAAAGCAGTGGGGTAATTCTTTATTTTTTGTTTTACAGTCTCAGTTGAACTAATTCTTACAGAATATAAAATAAAAGGCAAAAGCAAAAGAATAAAAATTTTAACAGCTTCCAAAAATTTTACCTCTATTCATGTGAAAAAAAAAAAAAAATTATGTTTTTGGAGTATCTAAACGTAATTTAAGTATCTACCAATAAAATACTTACCTTCTCTACTAGTGGTATTAACTGCTGGTGTTCTGCTAATGTCTTTAACAATTCCATAATGAAAGGCAGATAATTATGCTTCCTTCTGATATTCTCAATCTGAAAATAAAACAAACATCAATCCACACTAACTACATTTCTGCTAATTTTGGTATTCTATTCTTTGTATCCAATTCAAAATAGAAATGGTATAAAATATCCATTCTCATAAGAAAATGATTTTCAAAATAATGAGATTCCATTTCCACTGAGAATAAAGATTAACAATAAATCATGTGGAGGGAGTTTCTTGGGCATGACTTCCTGCCCTTGACTTAGCAAATAATAGAGGCCTTCAAAAGTCCAATCTAAGATTACTTATGAAAATGTCATTTATAAAAACAACTAAAGAAGAGCTGCATGCTAAATTAATGCTTGCTACTTCACCTGTGTAAATAATCAGGCAAAGTCTAATGAGACCAGCGTTATTTTGGGGTCAAGCACAATCTTTCCTTCATATTGTTTTTGATTGAAAGGGGGTACACTGCAGGAAAAAAATCTAAACTTCAGTGGAAAACTATGCACTGTCTAGAGAATGTCCTCTCAAGTTATGAGATTCTAGGCTTTCACTGTCACTGAACTATTATATATAGTCTGGTTTAATTGATTGCCCTTCTTCCATGGAAAATTTCCATCTCTTATTAAATTCATTTCAACGTTTCTTTACTTCATATAAATTTGGGCTTCTCTGACTTCTCCTTTAACTAGAGTTCCTTCAGTTAATTAATTAAATTAAAGCTTAACATGTTTGTTTTATAGCAGTATGAGAATCATTTTATCTTTTTTTAAACAAAGCATTCCCAAACAATAAAGGAGGAAACTTTATGGAAATTATGGAAACTTAATTTGTGTTTTCTTTTGGGCAGATATTAAAAGTTAGCTAATTATATAATAACTCTGCACAAGTATATATAAACATGGGTAACTTACTTTTTAAAATATCACGTGAATGGAAAACAATGGGTAAAGCTATTATTTCTTCCTTCCCTGTCTCCATGAGGTTGGCCCTCCCTTTTTCCTGTCTGGAATACTCTAGAGCCTACCTGCCCCTACAACTTCCACTTGAAGAAATCCTACTAATTTAAGGCCCATGTATTGCATTTAACAATAATCTGTTGTCTGTTAAGTATGACGCAAAGCACTATACTGACATTGCGGTGAGCAACAAAAAGGATAGTTCTTGCCTTACACAGAGGTTCAAATGAAAAACAATCCTTTAACTATCATAACACACATGACAAATGACATAAATGTTCCACAACCAAAGTAACACAAAATCCAGTTTCCCCCACTCTTCACTTTTCTGAAAAAAAGGTTATTGGATGGATTGCAAGTGAAAGAGAAGATATTATTAAAAATAACTTCACCTTTATATTTGACTCTGAATTACATAAATGCTTGACATGACTAAATAAAATTAAATCAGAATTTTTAACTCTAAAAAATCTAACAGTAAAATCAACAGGACAAAATTTTAAGTGAATTTAAAATACAGTTATTTGATTATATATCCAAAATAGGATATATCCTAAGGAATAAGACAAACTTAAGAAAAAACTTTTCATTTGTTATTATACTATTGGTACTATTATTCTGCACTTTTTTTCCATACACACACACACACACACACACACATATATATATATATATATATACACACACACACACACACATACATGATATACATACTACATGTATATGGCATAAAACAAATAATTACATCAATTCTGTTAAGAATCCAAGATTTTCAGCTTAATAGAAGAAATGGAAATTCTTAACTTCCTTATGCACAAAGTCCTTGAATCCTAAATTTGAGTATTAATATGAATACATGATGTATTTCCTCTTCAAAAATAAAATATGAAACAAACAAAAATGTATTTGTGGCTCTAAAAAGGCCTAAAAACTGATTAATCAGCAGCACTGAGTATCCTGAGTGCCCTGATAGTGGTATCTAAACACCACTTTTCAACAAGGGGTTTCTTTACAAAATGGCTGATTCCAAGTTTAAGCAAGAAATGCACAAGAAAAGTCTAAGCCAGGCATGGTAGCTCATACCTGTAGTCCCAGCCCTTTGGGAGGCCAAGACAAACAGATCACTTGAGGTCAGGAGTTTGAAATCAGCCTTGACAATATGACGAAACTCCATCTCTACTAAAAATACAAAAATTAGCCAGGCGTGGAGGCAGGTGTCTGTAATCCCAGCTACTTGGGAGGCTGAGGCAGGCGAATTGCTTTAACCCAGGAGGCAGAGGTTGCAGTGAGCCAAGATAGTACCCTGCACTCCAGCCTGAGCAACAGAGCAAAACTCTGTTCCCCCAAAAAAGAAAAGTCTGAAACATCTTATATAAGAAAGCAAGAAAGCTGGCTGGGTGTGGTGGCTCATACCTGTAATCCCAGCACTTTGGGAGGCCCAGAGAGGATCATTTGAGGCCAGTAGTTCAAGACCAGCCTAGCCAACATGGTGAAATCCCATCTCCACTAAAAATATAAAAATTAGCTGGGTGTGGAGGCGCAGGCCTGTAATCCCAGCTACTTGGGAGGCTTAGGCAGGAGAACTGCTTGAACCCGGGAGGTAGAGGTTGCAGTGAGCCAAGATTGCCTCACTGCACTCCAGCTTGAGCAACAAAGGAAGCCTCCATCTAAAAAAAGAAAGAAAAGAAAAGAAAGCTAACAGAAACTAAGGGGGTTATGCTGAAAACACTTAGGAGACAGCCTGAAGTGGCTCCCAATGGCCAAAGATAGGATAATTTAAGCATCAATAAGAATAATAATAGGCTGGGCACAGTGACTCATGCCTGTAATCCAAACACTTTGGGAGGCCAAGGTGGATGGATCACATGAGGTCAGGAGTTCAAGACCAGTTTGGTCAACATGGCAACACCCTATCTCTACTAAAAATACAAAAATTAGCCTAGTCAGGTATAGTGGCGCATGCCTGTAATCCCAGCTACTTGGGAGGCTGAGGCAGGAGAATTGCTTGAACCTAGGAGGTGGAGGTTGCAGTGAGCCAAGGTTGCACCACTGCACTCCAGCCTTGGCAACAGAGCAAGACTCCACCAAAAAAAAAAAAAAAACAATAACAACAGTGAACTGAAAAATAAAACAGGTTAAAATTCTGTTCCTAATAATATTTTACAAAAATAAAACTGAAAGACATCTCACTACTTATCTTTGTAGGGTATTGGAGAATCAACATAATATTTTGAAATCTGGTCAATGACAGGAGGGAAAGCCAACAGACATTCAGTATACCTTAATCTCAAAATATACTGCTTTATATTAAAACATTAAAGGAACATATTTTTTAAAACATACCTTGTATCTTTTTAATTTCTGTACTTCTTCTTCAATAAGCATCTGATTTTTGGCAACTTCTGACTGAATAGCACTTAACATACTATTACCCTGATCTGTATCCATGGGTTCCTCCTTAGGGGAAGGAAAAGAAACAGCACACCCTAATAACTGAGGCTTACGTTTGGAATATTTTTAAATGATAAACACAGTATAATTATTTTCAAATTTCTACTCTTCATATTGATAACAGCATGCCAGCCTAACAGCAGCATTAAAGGATAAAAGCCCCAAAATAGTTCCTTCCATATTTCTGTATTCTAATACATATGAATTTTCATCTAAAACAACCTACACTGTAATATACTCTATTGCCATAATCTCCTAATACACTATAAATTTTCTCAAAAACACTCAAGAAAATGTGATCAAAGGATTGTAAAATAAACTTTGTCTACTAAATCTCTTCTCCAGTGACATTTACTACAGAAAGATACTCAATCACAGCTAGTAAAAACTACATGTGACTCTAAATGTACCTAATTAACTCTTTGAGAATTAACTTCCTTAATTATTTAATGAAATCACAGAAAATAGTTAAAATAGTCCATTCCTAATACTTATTTAGCATTTACCATTTGTTAGTCGTTATTTTAAGTGATTTAAAGATCACACCTCATTTACTCCTCCTGATAATCTTATGAGGTAAAGATTATTTATTTTTATGCTACATGATGAAACTGAGTCACAAGGAAATATACTTAAATTCCTATATCCACTAAGCGGCAAAGCCAGGAACCGCATCTAGGCAACCTCAATCCAGAGTGTGTATTTTCTTAACCACCATTCAGAGCACTTGATTACACACATATATATGTATGTGATCATATATACATATATATATACACATATAAACAACGAAGAATTATATATATATAGTATAAATACTTTTGCTGAGAAAGTAACCAAGCTAGAACTTTGTATTTAAAAACATGGCCACAAACCTCTGCAAGTTGTCTTTGTAACTCTGCTATCTTCTGTTCATATATCATTTTTCTGTCAGACACAATAGCCATTAAATTAAATCGAATTTCACCTTCACTGTACCTAGAAGAAAATTATTTAAGTTTATAATGTAATAAAGAATTATAAAACTATTACAGTTAAGATAACCTATCATGATTACCCTCTTAATTTCCTAGTGTAAACAAAAGTCTACCAATTGGCTAACAGTAAAAATGGACAGTTTTAAAAAGCTTTCAGGTCAAGCACATAGGTGTGCACCTGTAGTCCCAGCTACCTGGGAGGCTGAGGAGTGGAGAGGATCCTTTGAGCCTAGGAGTGGGAGGCTGCAGTGAGCTACAATAGTGCACTGTACTCCAGCCTGGGCAACAGAACAAGACCCTGTCTCTAAAATCAAACAAACAAACAAAAAACTTTCATATAGGAAAGACAACTCTAGGAAAAAAAAATAGCTAAATATCATCAATCACAAATGTTTTTTAAATGTTCTAAAATAATGTTAGTACCACTTAAAACATTTGAAATAAAAAACATTTTCATTAATTTCCCTACCTTTATAAGAAACATGGCAATTCATTTACTTAAGAGTTAGGAAAAAAACAAATGACTCCACATTTCTTAAATTTATTAGACTGGCATCTTCATGGGTATTAACTATGCTCCTTATCATATAATTTTTTTCCAAATCATGATCAACTTTCTATTTATATATTTTAAATTTTATCCTATTACATGTAAACATTTTACATATTTTATTAATATAATATATGATTATATCCTGTAGTAAAATTTCTGAATGATGCTTGATTTTCACTACTCTAGTATCAATGAAGCATCTCATAACATAAGCTTGTTCATAGTAAGGACTGGTATTAAAAACATTATTCAAAATATTATATAAATAGCACTAAGATGAAAATATACAGAAAGTGTAAGCCCATTTTACATTAGTTTATCTCTAAGAGTTTCTCATACACAGCTCTATTCACTGAAAAGAATATGGTCCCAATATAACTATAGTGCTTTGAACTATGCAAAAATGTTTTTAAAACACTAACTGTGGGACTTCCATGTCCCTATTTCTGCCAGTAAGTACAACTAAAAACCCGGGACATAATATGTTTCTTAAAAAGAGAGAGCAAGAATATTCTGAAAGGTAGAAAAAGGCTGACAAGCTGGGAAACTCAGGAACCACGAATGATAAAATACTGAATTCCCTGGGTTTTTACTTTCTGCCTCATATCCCAGACTTGGAGTTGAAGAAACCAGCAACCAGGAAATACCAACAGGTACAGACAAAAAATCTCCAACAAAAGTCTGCTCTCTCTAGCCAGACAGAAAAGGTGCAGCCTCACAAGTCAGAAAACTTTTAGACAATAGTCATTCTACTATGGCCAAATATGACTAAAAAATCTGTGACCCCACTCCTACTCAAAACCAGTAAAAGCAGAATAGAGAGCCTTGACTTCCAACCTTTAACAAGGCTCCTAATTTGGTATTTAAAAAGGCTAGGTAGGAAACGGAGACTTTCATCCCTGCCATGTGGTAATAACAACACTCATTTGTGGTATCAGAGGACATAGAATGGAAAGCCAAAACTGTCACTACCATCCAGTGGCAAAGTAGCCTCTTCCACTTCAGTATGAGTGGAAAGCAATAGCAAGGCACTCCTACCCATCTCAGCCAGAGTGGTGTCAACAGAAACCCTGCTGGGGGCTGGAACTCCCATCTCTGTCCAGCAATAACAAGAAACCCCATTCCACCTCAGCTGTCACTGAAGGCCTAGTAGGAAAGTTGGACTTCTACTCCCACCTGGCAGTCATGAGGTGGCGCCCACAATTTACCCTATCAGAACCATACCCATAAAACCAGCTCACACAGAAATCTTAAATAAGATCCAAAGTCTCTTTTGAGGAACTATAATAGCTGAAACAATTTTGAAAAAAAGAACAAAATGAAAGGCATCAGCCTACATGATTTCAAGACCTATAGTTACAGTAGTCAGCATAATGTAGTACTGGCAGAGGAACAGATAAATGGAACAATGGACAGAATTGTGAACCCAGAAATAGACCCATACAAATATGCTCCATTTTTGCAAAGGTGCAGGAGGAATTCAGTGGAGGAAGGATAGCCTTTTCAACCACTGTGCCTGAGCAATTGAATAGGCATAAGCAAAAAAAAAAAAAAAAAAAAAATAAAAAAAAAAAAAAAAAGACCCTTTACCCAAATGTCATACCATATACAAAAATTAACTCAAAATACATCAGAGGTTGACACATAAAACATCAATGTATAAACTTTGAAGAAAACAACACAGGAAAAAGTATTTGGTATCTACAATGAGGCAAAGATTTTTTAGACTTGACAACAAAAACAATTCATAGTGTGAAATATTGATAAACTATTTTTTCATCAGGATTAAGACCTTTTGCTCTGTGAAAACCATTTTGGGAGTACAAGGGAACGGGCTACAGAATGGGAGAGAATACTTGCAGGCAGTGTGTTTGATGAAGGATTAGTACCTAGAATACGTAAAGAACTTCAGGCTCAAAAGACAAAAAACAATCCAATCAGAAAATGAGCACAAGGCACGAAAAGGCTTTCAACATCATAAGTCATCAGGGAAATGCACATTAAAACCACAATTAAGTATCACTATACATCTATTAGAATGGTTAAAATAAAAATGGTGTAGACGTTCAATGCATACTACTAAAATAACAATAATATACAAGTTTAAAAAATACTTAAGAAACAGAATATTGTGCCAATGAGATCAGCTGAGCATTTACTTTTGTATCCTTTTCTCTATGACAGGCCTTACTGCACTGATCCAATCATCTTGATTACATGCACCTAGAAAGAAATTTAAAACAGTTAACACAATCAAAAATAAGAACGATCAACTTCAATATAAAAAAGTTTGGTCCAAAATATTTTTTTACACATATTTTAACAAATTTAGGGCAGTAAAACTCTTTTTAGTGTAATTATGTTGTTTCAAATCCATAATAAATTTTCATAACAGACATAGAAAAAAATAAATATTTTTAAATATAGAGGCAACATGTAAATCTGCATTACATAAACTATTGGTTCTACACATGAAGCATGGCAAAAAGTACAAACAAAGAACTCATTTAATTTTTTTTAAATCTAAAAGTTTTATGAATAGCATATAACATTAGATTCAACTAAAACAAGTTGTATTGGACTTCAAACCTAATTTTTAAAAAAGAAAAAATTTAATGAAGTCAAAATAAGCAGTTAAAATTCTTTTGTGAACCTATTATTTCAGTAATCTTTCAAAGCTACAGATTACACCTTCAACCTTGATAAGTGTTTACTGTTTTTCCTCACATTAGAGATGGGGTGGGATCAGAACAAATCTATGCTTTGGCACAAAGGATAATACGTTAATGTACTACTTAAATAGAGAACTTTGAAGAAAAATATTTTCTTGATTGCAAAACAATAAATTATCCAATTCCAAATGAAAATATTTTAATACAGATGATGATACGAAATGTCTGCTCTCCCTTATGAATGGGTTAAAAATAACAAGAAAAACTATTTAAGTTCACTAAGGGTAGTTTTTAAATGTTAAATGGAAAATAAAATAAAATTACGTAACCTGTGGGTTAAAACATAATTTTACTTGGCAAAACTCAAAGGACTCAACTGAACTAGTCAACATGTCCTTCCTGTATATTAATAACTTAACATACTGAAGAGCTTAAGACCTTCATTGTATTTTATTACCTCATAGTCACTTGGACCTTGAAAATTGAAGCAGCACTGTCACAAAAATGAGGGTAAATACCTAACAGTTTTTCCCCTGTCAAAAGTGAAATACCAGGAACAGGAATCACATTACCTAAATCAATCGGTCCTTCTCTTAATCCATCTAATTCATACAGTCTTCCATTAACAGGAACATAACTGACAAAATGAAAAGCATCTTCTTCTTTTGCTGATGTCTTCGTATCAAACTCAAACATTTGCTGTCTATAGTAAGGAAAAAAATAGTGAGACTCAAAGAAGCCAAGAAAGAAGTAGTATTTATTTAACATGAAGTCTCTTTACCTGGCGAAACTGTTGTGTACTTGTCGAATCACATCTGAATTGCTCAATGCCAAGCCTTTCATCTAAAATAAGTTTTTAAAGTAGCCTATTAATATACAAACTTTTACAAATGTGACTTTTTAAGAATAAGAAGAAGGTTGTACTCACAGCTGCATCAAAACTTTGTGAAAATTCTTTAAACTCTGATAATGTCTCTCCTAAATGGACATCCTGGTGGGTACAGTTTAGTAACACACTCACTATGGCTTGAGTAGCACAAGCATTATTAATTACCTATAAAATATAAGAGTGAAGATAGTAATTTGTTTAAAAAAAACAAAACAATAGTTTCTAACTGGTGACAATGACCCCAAAATATGAACAGTTTTCAAATTGTATTTTATAAAGACTCAGCATAAACAGAATAAATATGTTTAATTTCTATCCTAATCTACTTCTAGAAATTTACTGCAATTCTGGAGTTGAAGATTCTAGGAAACCAAAGGAACTCAATGAACTCATAGTATTACCAAAAACCAATCCATTAGGGTAACAAGACCAACTATTCTCATTGAAAACATAGCTGATTAAGCCAACAGAGCTTGTCCTTCTCTCCTGTTCATTTCCTCCTAGAGTCATTTCTACCTATTCTAATTCAATTTGTATTTTATTACCGAGCATAAGCTTCAACTCACCTATGTGATTTTAGCGAAATTCTAAAACAACTCACATTAGTTTCTACTCTCATTTGAATTCTCAAACAGGATATGTAATGTCCACATATTTTTTTACTCAGTCATGCACAGTGTTTACATTGTTATCATCTAGCTGTTAATTGTTCGTTTAAGAAATTATCTGAACCTCACATTCTAGCCAAAGGGGAAATTTAGATAGCATTTACTATATGCCAGTTACTTTTGTAGGCACTTCACATGTATTATTTCTTTTAACCCTCTCAACAACTTATGAAGGAGTAATATTACCATTTTCATTTTAAATTTGTAGAAGCTGAGGCACAAAGACGTTAAGTAGCTTGCCAAGAGCACACAGCCAATCTGGTTCTAGAATTTGTGTACACAGCCATCATGCTAGGCTGTCTCTGTACCTGCATGTGGTCTCTCCAACAAGATTGTAAACCACTTTATGAACAGCAGTTTCTTCCACACTGCCTAAGCATCTACAGTATTGGGATCATCTGGCAGATCTCAGATGATCAGTGAGAACACCAGCAAGGTTAATCATAGATTTTTTTAATTGCAGCTTAGTCCTACTATAATATTATGTTACTATATTGTAATTAGTCTTTCCAATAATGCTAATTAGCTTATGATTTCACATTTTAGTAAATCATCTATTTTTATCCTGCCTGATTTCAGAAGAAAAACTTACCATTATTTTCCTTCTTTAATTCTTATACTTCTCTATTTCTTAGGTTGGTAAAGGTTTTAAGGTCTTATGAATACCTACCAGTTCCTGAACTGTTGACTAAAGTATACTTGAGAAATTCCTTGATAAGATTGCACTCTCCATTACAGAATAGTCTCATACTCCTAATTCTCAATAACCATAATAACACCACCATGCCTCTATAATTCTTCTCTTTAAGTATTTTTTATTCAAACCTGTTTTAAAATTGATGAATTAGGAAAAAGTAGTAATAAATCCAGAATCCAATTAACATTGCTGCTGATTTTTACAAATATGTATTTTGATCTGTATCACAGTTATTTAGTAAATTTGGATGAAAACTTTAATGATTAAACAGCTTTATAAATGTTGTTGACTAAAACACTGTAACATTTAGTGTTCCCTTATCCTAGGCCAAAATTACCTAAGGTGATATTATCTTGAGGATAGCAATGGGAGGAGTAAAGTTAGGAGAAATTAAAATGTATACTTATCAGCACATTCTTTCAAAATCACATCTTAAAAACATAATATGTTCCCAATGCTAAACTAAGCAGTGACACTACAGCAGAAAATATTATCAAACATTTCAAATCTGTAATCCATTACTTTAGGATTTTAGGAAGCAGAAAAAAATTATTGTGGTTACTTTCTTTTTTGATGTCAATAATAATTTATACTGTCCATGATATACTGTAGCTCATTTTGTATGTGTGTGAGAAGAAAAGTTATAATGTACCTCGGTATGAGAATAATATCTTCAAGTTTTAAAAGGATTTTAGTGCCACCAAGTGGTTATGCTATACGTAGTACAAAATTAACAAAAAACAAACAAAAATTTGTAAAGTGTATAGCCATACATCCATTCAAATAATACTTACTGAGCACCTACTACGTGACAGACATTGTAATAAATGCTGAACATACAGTGAATAAGAAGGATGTGGTCCTGTCCTCATCAAACTCACATACAAATCAGCTTATGGTGGGAGGATACAAGATGGCCAAATAGGAACAGCTCTGGAGTGCAGTTCCCAGTAAGAACAACGCAGAAGTTGAGTGATCACCACATTTCCAAACGAGTTTTCACTGCCCACAGACCAGGAGATTCTCGGGTGGAAAAGTGCCACAAGTTTCCAGCATGGCTGTTTCAGTTGGTGCCACATCACACTTACTCTAAAATTTATCACGTAAGTGGAAATAAATCACTCCTCAGCAAATACAAAAGAACAGAAATCATAACAAACAGTCTGTAAGACCACAGGGCAATCAAATTAGAACTCAGGATTAAGAAACTAACTCAGAACCACACAACTTCATGGAAACTGAAAAACTGGCTCCTGAATGACAACTGGCTCCTGAATGTCGACTGGATAAACAATGAAATGAAGGCAGAAATAAAGATGTTCTTCAAAACCAGTGAGAACGAAGACACAACATACCAGAATCTCTGGGATACATTTAAAGCAGTGTCTAGAGGGAAATTTACAGCAGTAACCGCCCAAATGAGAAGTGAGGAAAGATCTAAAATTGACAACCTATCATCAAAATTGAAAGAGCTAGAGGAGCAAGATCAAAAAAACTCAAAAGCTAGCAGAAGGCAAGAAATAACTAAGATCAGAGCAGAACTGAAGGAGATAGAGACAAAAAAAACCCTTCAAAAAAATCAAGAAATTCAGGAGCTGATTTTTTGAAAAGATCAACAAAATAGACAGACCACTAGCCAGATTAATAAAAAATAAAAGAGAGAAGAATCAAATAGATGCAATAAAAAACAATAAAGGAGATACCACCACAGATTCCACAGAAATACAAACTACCATCAGAGATTACTACAAACAACTCTATGCACAAAAACAAGTAAGCCTGGGAGAAATGGATAAATTCCAGGACACTTGCACCCTCTCAAGCCTAGACCAGGAAGAAGTTGAAACCTTGAACAAACCAATAACAAATGCTGACGTTGAGGTACAAATTAATAGCCTACCAACCAAAAAAAGTTCAGGTCCAGATGGGTTCACAGCTGAATTCTACCAGATGTACAAAGAGGAGCTGGTACCATTTTATCTGAAACTATTCCAAACAACACAAAAAGAAGGAATCCTTCCCAAATCATTTTATGAGACCAGTATCATCCTGATACCAAAACCCAGCAGAGACCCAACAAAAAAAGAAAACTTCAGGCCAATATTCCTGATGAACATAGATGCAAAAATCTTCAATAAAATACTGGTAAACCGATTGCAACAGCACATCAAAAAGCTTATCCATCACGATCAAGTAGGCTTCATCCCGGGGATGCAAAGCTGGTTCAACATATGCAAGTCTATAAACGTAATCTATCACATAAACAGAACCAAAGACAAAAACCACATGATTATCTCAATAGATACAGAGAAGGCCTTCAACAAAATTCAATAGCCCCTTATGCTAAAAACTCTCAATAAACTAGGTGTCAAAGGAACATATCTCAAAATAATAAAAGCCATTTATGACAAATCCACAGCCAACATATACTGAATGGGCAAAAACTGGAAGCACTCCCTTTGAAATTAGGCACTAGACAAGGATGTCCTCTCTCACCACTCCTATTCAATATAGTATTGGAAGTTCTAACCACAGCAATTAGGCAAGAAAAAAACAAACAAAGGGTACTAAATTAGAAAATGAGGAAGTCAAATTGCCTCTATTTGCAGACGACATGATTGTATATTTAGAAGACCCCATCATTTCAGCCCAAAATCTCCTTAAACTGATAAGCAACTTCAGCAAAGTCTCAGATACAAAATCAATGTGCAGAAATCACAAGCATTCCTATACACCAATAGCAGACTAACAGCGAGCCAAATCATGAGCAAACTCCCATTCACAATTGCTACAAAGAGAATAAAATACCTAGGAGTACAACTAACAAAGGATATAAAGGACCTCTTCAAGGAGATCTACAAACCACCGCTCAAGGAAATGAGAGGACACAAACAGATGGAGAAACATTCCATGCTCATGGTTAGGAAGGCTCAGTATCATGAAAATGGCCGTACTGCCCAAAGTAAATTATAGATTCAATGCTATCCCCATCAAGCTACCAATGACCTTATTCACAAAACTGGAAAAAACCATCTTAAACTTCATATGGAACCAAAAGAGAGCCCGCATAGCCAAGACAATCCTAAGCAAAAAGAACAAAGCCGGAGGCATCATGCCACCTGACTTCAAACTATACTACAAGGCTACAGTAATCAAAACAGCATGGTACTGGTACCAAAACAGAGATATAGACCAATGGAACAGAACAAAGGCCTCGGAGGCAATGCCACACAACTATAATCATCTGATGTTTGACAAACCTGACAAAAACAAGGAATGGGGAAAGGATTCCCTGTTTAATAAATAGTGTTGAGAAAACTGGCTAGCCACGTGCAGAAAGCAGAAACTGGACCCCTTCCTGACACCTTACACTAAAATTAACTCCAGATGGATTACAGACTTAACCATAAGACCTAACATCATAAAATCCCTAGAAGAAAACCTAGGCAAAACCATCCAGGACCTAGGCATAGGCAAGGACTTCATGACTGAAACACCAAACGTATTGGCAACAGAAGCCAAAATAGACAAATGGGATCAAATTAAACTCCAGAGCTTCTGTACAGCAAAAGAAACAACGATTAGAGTGAACTGGCAACCAACAGAACAGGAAAAAAAATTTGCAATCTAACCATCTGACAAAGGGCTAATATCTAGAATGTACAAAGAACTAAAACAGATTTACAAGAAAAAGCAAACCCATTCAAAAGTAGGCAAAGGATATGAACAGACATTTTTCAAAAGAAGACATTTATGAGGTCAACAAACATATCAAAAAATGCTCATTATCACTGGTCATT